CCAAGGACCTATCCACATCATCATTTACCCAGAATGCTTTGCGTGTAAACAAATTGGCCCTGTCCGTGTAGTGTATTTTTAAACCTTTAATTTAAAAATTATAAAAAAAACTAAACAGCCTACAGTTTTTACAGTCTTTATTTTACAGTTAAAATAAATATTTATCAAATAAATTTTAATGCTACAACTAACCAGGGATCCCTTTAATATTTATGGACCTGATTGTGTCTCTTCCCTGATGCACAGCCAGCAAATGTGATCATCTTAAATGTACAGGTGATCATCAGTCCCTACCTCTGCAGGTGATGTCGAAGGCCTTTCTTTATCTGGCTGTGAACATGGCAGGTGTGTTTATTAACTACCTGTCTGACCGGACTCAGCGGCAGAGCTTCCTAGAGACCCGGCGCTGCATCGAAGGACGGGTCCGACTGGAGAGGGAAAACCACAGACAGGTAGAGTCCAGGCAGAGCCCACATTAAATGTTGGTTAAAACAAACTTCTCTATTTCTCCTCCTCGCGGTGTTTCCAGGAGCGTCTGGTGATGTCCATCCTGCCTCGCTTCCTGGTCCTGGAGATGATCTCTGACATGACAGCTGCAGATGATTATCTGCTGCCTCATCAGTTCCATAAGATCTACATCCACCACTACAAGAATGTCAGGTAAACGAGGACTGATAGGCAGTTCTTCAGCACTTTAATTTAAATTCAGACCAGTTGGTAAACGTTGAAGTAAAAAATGTGAAGCTATTGATGGTTTGTCTCTGTAGCATCCTATTCGCAGACATCATCGGCTTCACGTCTCTTTCTTTGATACTCTCGGCACAGGAACTCGTTAAAACTCTTAACGAGCTTTTTGGGCGCTTTGATAAGCTGGCTGAGGTCAGATCAACTTGAGAAAACCATGTTCAGCAATTTTATGTTGAACTTTTCTGTCTGAGGATGGGGTTGTGTGTTCTGTCTGTGTAGAAGCACCAGTGTTTGCGGATCAAGATTCTGGGGGACTGTTATTACTGCGTCTCTGGGGTCCCGGAGCCACAGAGGGGACACGCCCGCTGCTGTGTGGAGATGGGCCTCAGCATGATCACCACCATTCGGTGAGAAGAACTCCACCATCCCTGCCCTCGTTTCCATGGAGCATTACAGTAACATGTTGTGTTGCAGATATGTTCGCCAGGAGCTGCAGCAGGAAGTAGACATGCGGATCGGCGTCCACTCAGGTTCTGTCCTCTGTGGTATATTGGGCCTTCAAAAGTGGCAGTTTGACATCTGGAGCTGGGACGTCGACATTGCCAACAGCCTAGAGGCTGCAGGAGTGCCAGGGTCAGAAACATTCACACACATCCACCCGCTTCAGATGTTATCCATTAAATGGACGTTATTAGCCGTTATCAGTCCCATAGAATGGCTTCAGACTGTCAGCTGGTTAATATGAGGCATAAAGCCACAAAGGTTTAGTTTTAGAAAAAATAACATGGGATACGATAAAGTAGACCGGACTTCGACGATGGCAGATTGTTGCATTCCAATGTATATGGCACTGGTAACCCACTAGGGGGCACTGTCGGGACAGTCTGAAGCCATTCTATGGGACTGATAACCACTAATAACGTCCATTTAATGGACTGATAACACCCGAACCAGCTGCACACATCAAATGTTCTCAAAATATGCTTGAATGGATGTTTATGGACAATTTGTTCTGATCAAAGTGTTAAATATCAAAGTGATAATATTATATTATAAATACTGTACATACATATATACAGTATATATATATACAGTATATATATATACAGTATATATATATACAGTATATATATATACAGTATATATATATACAGTATATATATATACAGTATATATAT